CGTTCCATGAATTTGTTTTGTCTTTCTTACCTTGCTTTTGACCCTAAACTTTTATAACAATCAAAGAATATGTATGATAATTATAATTATTCATAATTTCATGGATATTGCTAGGAAATTAAGGTAGTCTCCGGTGAAAACTCTCCAGCTAAACTAGAATTGAAAACCTAGTATGAACTTGGACTCTTCAAACCATTTTCATTTGTGCATATTTTTCCTTGTATTCTAGAACATGATAGTGGAAATTTTCCATGATTTGGCAGTATAAGTAGATGTATATGATTTTGCTTTGGGGCATGATGCAGGTGGGTTGGGATGAAAAAGCAGAAGCATGATTTTGCTCTTTTTATTTTCCAGAAAAATAGTTTTGTTCACTATTTTAGTTTCAAAACACTGTTTTGCAATGATATTTTAGTAAAGTTGATTGTTAAACTCATGTTTGTCGGGAATCAAATCATATTTTTAGTAAATTTTAATAAAAAATGATAAAATGTGTGATTGAAAAGTTGTGGTTTTCATGAAATAGTTGTAGTAATTCAGAGATTATGATCAACTTGTTATGTATGTCATAAATTCCACACAAGCGCAACAAATATTTCCATATAGAATATGTTAAGAAAAAAAATTAATCTACAAGCATTGGACACTACTCAAATGTTATAATTTTGATAAATACATTGTAATAACTTTACAACTATAGTTCTATCCTAACTAAAAATTAAAAAAGAGATAAAGAAAAGGACCTTCTCTTCCTCACCCATTCTAATTCTTAATCGACAAACTTCCTCCACTCCGCCCTACCAATCGGCTCTATAATTTGCTCTTTGCAGGTTAAGCAATCCGTGTTTTTTCCAGGTTTAAGTCACAAATGAGTCCTCAAGCTAATTCTCAAAGCTTCTGTGCCGATCAAGCTTACTTTCAAACTTTTACATGTGTGCAAGGGTGCGTGTGGGGCAGGGTAGAGTGCGGAGGGAAGGATATACCGTAATGGTGCTTTAGTTGCGAATACGGATTCAAGATAAAATCTTTCGACTCGTCAACTATTTTTCTTACCATGTTCATGGAAAGCAACATATTCTATTTGATTTTTAATCGTCATATATTCTGTTTTGTTTAATAAAATATACCACCTATAGTGGTTTCATAAAAAATGTCATCATATAGCACTTCTATAAATTTAAGTAGCGTATCATAAACTCTTATTATTGATTTCATATCTAACCGACGTGCAACACCCGGTATTTCAACCTTGACACATGCCACACAAAAATATGGAGCAAGCTTTCATGATTGCTCAAAACAAGTTCGGACATGAGAAAGGTTAAATGTCTGTTTTCGAAATGGAAATGGATGGAATCATAAATTTTGCTATCACAACAAATACAAGAGACAAGACATGTTACCGCAGTCTAGCTATTGAGCTACTAGGTTTAGTTTGCAATTTTATCAGTGGTTCTCTTTGCATTTTCCACATGTTTTCAATAAATGAGGTTAACCTCATAATCCCTTCATGTATTGGAGAAATTTCTCATGGAAACTAAGAAAAAAGTGGATATATCTGCATCATAAAATGATTGGTATACTATTTTTCCTCTCTTTATGAATTGATTGTTGAAGAATGTAACAGTAGAAAATGACTTGCCCTGCTGCAGTGCTGTATTTAATTACGTGTAGGTTCAGAACTGAACAAGAAAATATGAACAAATACTTTTATGAAATTTACAGAACAATATTTAAATAGGAAACTAAGTTATATTATTCACGATGATAATATTGATTACACACTTGGTTACCAATTTATATAAGCAGATATATTATAATAAACTCATTTTCCGGCATCCTTCTCTCCAGCATGTAGTCCAGCGAAATATGCTTGAGGATTGCTTTCAAACTCAGCCCTGGAAATGCTAGCTCCTCCACCACCAGGAGCTACCATCATCCCTGAACCGCTGCCACCACCACCACCACCACTTCCTTTCGAAGAGCCACCACCTCCTCCCGACCCAGATTTCCCACCTCCTCCCTTACCGCCACCTCCACCTCCCTTACCGCCACCTCCCTTACCGCCACCTCCACCACCTTTTCCGCCCATTTTGAGATGTCTGTTAGTAAGCTAACCAGAAGTAGCAAGACTTTTACTGAATACTGATAAGTTTGAACAACCAAAAGCATATCAACACATTATATATAAGGGATAACTGGATAATATCGCATCGAACTACGAGCCTTCAAGTTCATGAATAAATTCAATTCTAATGAAGATCCCAAGACACTGCTGCCAGGCTTTGGATTAAGTTTTCATAAACACTGACCAACTATTGGAAATATGTTTTGGTACATCACTCTTTTTTTACGGGGAACTGATAATCCTATAATACGCATTGCATCCGGCCATAGGAAATATGTGTAACTCGAACAGTCGTATTATTGAACACAAAAGTCCACTCAATGAAATTGCTTTTAGAGTAATGTTATTCATCTCCAATGGGGATGAAAACACAGTTTATGTGGTTTTAAATGATAGGTTAAATGAAAGGTGAAATTAAATGACTTATTTAATTTCACCTATCATTTAATGCCACATTGACTGTGTTTTCATCCCAAGTGGAGATGAATAACATTACTCTTGCTTTTAGGACGTACACTTTGGTCAAATGTATGGGTTATCCAATGCTAATTAAACCTTGTTTGGCAGGAATTAAAATTTTGATTTTAATCTAAATTAAAGTCAATAATTAATTTTAACCACATATTTTATGGATTCTAACCACACATTTTATCAAATTCTACCAAAATTTTAATTTTAATTCCCACCAAACAAATGCTAGGATTTAAGAGATCCATATGGCAGAAAATCAAGGCCATAATAAAAGAAAAGTAAAAGTCAATCCATACTTTTGACCCGGCGTTGACAAGTACGGTTGGTCGAATGTTAATTGATAATTTTTTAAAAAAAAATTAAGTTGGTTGAACTTTATTTTTAATTACAAATTTTATTGAATTCGTAATTTTTATTTACATTTTTATCACAAATTTCACGAAACCTTGATCTTAATGATCTGAGAAAACTTTGTTAAACAGAGCTCTCAAGTGTTACAAACAAGACTTAATTGTGTGACTTAATTACTAGGCTCGAAACCTATCTACAAAAAACCTTCACTTTAATTGAAAAAAAAAAAAATTTGTCGAGAAAGTCATTAGTTTTTCCGTTCGAAAAAAAATCATCAAGAGACTTTTCATACCAAAAAACTTCCATTTTTACGTGTATAACAATTTTGTTAAAAAATGTAGGATTTTGACGTATTGAGCTCCAACTGGACCGACCCGTCTCTTTTAAAACAAGATATTTTAATCCTTGACCATTTATTGTTATTGTACAGGTAGTTCTAGACCATTAAAATACTTCATTTTGTCACGTTGAAAAGTTTCCAATAACGTGTAGGCGCGTAGGATGGATGTGTATAATCAATTTGTTGCTTAAATACGGTGTCCATAGTTGACAATCATGTAATTTCATAGTATATTCTTCAGAAATCTGATGAAATTTCCATGGAATTATATTGGAAATTACTTTTGTATCTTTAGTATGTTAAATGTTTTTTCACGAAAAGACTTTTGATAAGGATGACAAAGCTATTAATATCAAAACAATGTAAATTAAACATATGTAAGAATTAATGTTAGTAATACCAAATGAATGTAAATTAGGAAGAATCTGATTTTTTTCTGAGGTCGGAAGATGGACTGAACATCATTATAAAATGACGTGCAAAGCACGTGTTACATACTGATGTGTTTAAAATATTGGTCGTTCCTACAAGCCCTACTTTTAGTTATTGTATCTAAACCAAAAGTTCATTTATTTGTGATTATTTATATTCACACCACAATTTTTATTATCTATTATATGCTCATTTTTGCACTTGTATTTATATTTTATTTCGCTTCTTTAAAAATGCAAGACACAAAGAAGTCTCTTTACACCCTCTGCATAGGCAGAGACCTTCATTATGTACAAGATACGTAAACTAATAAAATGATGGTGATAAGATTTAATAAAGGGAAGTCTACATAAATCCTACTTTTACTTATGCACATTTCAAAATTAAGGTCGGATGTTTTAAATTTCAAAAATCAGGNATTAAAATCAGATTTTTAGTAAAGTTTAATATAAAAGTATATGAAATGTGTGATTGAAAAGTTATGGATCAAATGCAATGTCTTATTAAAATAATTGTTGATTTTAACTTAAATTAATTTTTTTATTTTAACTTCTATCAAACATGGACTTAATTTTGTTTAAGAGCCCAAACAACATGAACATGCTAAGCCTATGCCATCTAAGATTCACACTAGTGTTATCAAGTTAAAGGACCCCAACTCTTATAAGTGAAGACTCATGAGTTAGAGAAGTCAACGCTCATAGTAAGGTCATGCAACGAGATCGAAATGAGGATCTCGATCCACTTATAGACAAAAGCAAATATAATTCTACCGTCTTGTTTCATATCGATCGGCACAACTTATGAAAGTGGTCCGTGTATAGTGTTAAAGAGTATTCTATGCTCTTATAAGAATTTAAATTTATTAAAAATTTCAAGATAAGGCAAATCAATAATACGATATTGTTCAAACAATTCGACAAACTCTTAATATCAAGACTCACAGTTAACACAATCATAAAAATAACTACAAATAAAAGTTGCCAAAGTCTTGTCCGCGTCAATCACGCAATATTTATTTGAAAGAGCCTTCCTTCTTTGCTCCATAAAATTCAAAATGTATGCACTTCGTCAAAACAAGTGTACCAATAGTCCAATACCCAATCAAGAAAATCCAAATCTCATAAGCACGATAAATTGGATTATTGGACTGCCGAATGATGATGATGATGATGATGATGATAAAATGGATTCATTCCTTCTTCAGAAAGAGTACATAAATTATAATTAATTTACTAAAGAGTAATGCTATCCTAGAATTGATGAGTAATTAATTTCTCAACTTGTACTGACTGGTTCTTCGGTAATTGTATCCAACATTGGCTTTCTTGATCTGCACAATGAGTGCCTATACTTGTAATCTGCTATAGGAAACCCTGCTACATCTTCTAAATTAAATCCCGATCGTCCTGTCTCATTCTCAACCTGATCATCAGCAGGTACTGCCGGCTGCGCCACCGCTTCTGGCGATATCCTCATGGTGTTGCCACCGGATATCCGCTTAGGCGCAGTGTTAGCTGCCATCAGAAACACGGCCATATCGGCAGCCATGACTACTGAATTCACCCTTCTCATTGGAAACATAAGGTACAAATTGCTAAACTCCAAATCTTCATCTGCAGATAGAGGAGAAAATCTTCTACCAATAGCTAAGGACTTCGAATTTACTAAGAAGAAGTTTGGTGACTCTAGCATAAGCTCTGCAGCCTTCACTGGCTCGCGAAACTGCCGGATTTCGCCCACTGGAAACATAACCCTAGCTGCCGCGGCACTCTTCATTATTGGAATCCCTAAACTGCATGAAAAATAATTTCCCATGTCGAGATAAATAAAGAGAGGCGAAATTTTACTTATGGGTTTTTGAAATGGTTTGTGAGTTTGAAGTCTTGAGATCTTAGTTAGGTATATATATATAAAGAATAGAAGTATCTAATTTGATACATTAAACTGAATTGGTCGACAGTTTGAAGTCTTGAGGTCTTAGTTTGGTATGTATATAAAAAATAGAAGCATCTAATTTGATACATTAAACTGAATTGGTATCGACCAGAAAATGACAATGAGCATAGGTTTTTCGTGTGTTCTTACACGCAGATTCACAGGTTGAAGTGGAATGGAGACTCAATTATTCAAAGAAAATGGAAAAAGACTTCAGGCGGTTGTGGAAGGTTGTCTAAAAAAATATGGTTTGACGATGCCCACACTTACCTACCCTTTAGGCCAAATGTGTGGTGGAAGTTTCTCCTTTCTTTATCAAGTGCAGCTTCCGCGCTAATGCGTATTAGAATTGTCAGCACTAACTCGTGTTCACATATCAGTCCAATATTTAGCCCGTGTTTGTCACCGACAATTAATTTTAATTATACATTTCATAGGATCCAAAATTTTTCAATCTAATTTTAATCTCTATCAAACACGGGCTTAGTAAGATTAAAAAATTAGTTTGAACATTAAAAAAATGCCAATTTTGAATAATTCTTTTAGGATATGTTTAGTACGAAATTATGTATTGACGAGGTCTGTTTATCTGATCAAATAAATTGTTAATGTAATTAATTTCGACTCAAATTTTCTCATTTAGAAGGACACTAGTGTTAATAGGGAAGAAATTCTTTATATAGCGTTTTTTAATAAATAAAAATGATTTTTTAAAATTTAACTGATGATGTTGTTACTCATATAAAATAATCATAAAATTAATATCTCATGTGGCCAGTAGATGAACCAACAAGCCCACACACATAACATAGCAAGATAGACGAACATATTATACACGCTCCGAGGCGAACCCAACATGAAAACAGGACAACCGACCCTCTTTTATCATTACCCCTTGATGCGAACTCATCTATGGCGAGGTGAGCAGCCAATCAACAGCAGGTCTCATGGAGTGATTGACAAGACAATACACTGTCAACGCCGCCTCTGCAGTCAAATTCTCAACCTATCTGTAAAGATATGGGAGATCTCAGCGGTGATAGCCTAATTGATTGATTGATATTTATAACAACCAACAGATCTAATAGAACTATGTGCCTTATCATCCAACTGACCTCATTCACTAGGCATTGGATATAAATACACACACTTAGCACCATTTAAGGGTAATGCAAGTTTTCATATCTAAAGAAAAATCTAGATTCTCTCTGCAAAGCTCAACAGCCGACCCCCTTTTCAAGCAACAAACAATTATCATAGTAATTTACTAAATACCTTGGATCATTCCCTTCATTGATTGATTTGAGAAACGGGTGATTTGAATCATAGGCACATTGGAATCTAAGCTTACGTTGACACTCGTCTCTAATTATTCTTTATTTGTTGGCCACGTCATTAGACCATTTTTTGGGGTCAACATATTTGCGCCGTCTGTGGGAACCTTTGATACCATAACCACGAATATCCCAGTGGTAAAAGCTGTCTGAAAAAGAACTTTGAAGAAAGGTTATTGGTTCTTGAAGAAAAGACTGCTGCAAAGAAACAACGAGAAAAACACGATGAGTTCAAGACACCAAGAATCACATGGCGGAGGTGGACAGCAGGGGGCCTTTGAAGAAGAGGTTTTCCATACTAACGTGAACATGCGTCGTCCCCACCACAGCCACAGGAAAGACGGTACAACAAATATGAGAAATGCTGCCATACAACAACTGTTGATGGCTGCAAATATAAGTCTCCAAGGCTGTTGTTGGCAATCTCTAAGGCTGACGATGCAACAACTGTTGTTCGCAGTCTCCAAGGCTGACAAGGCAATCTTTTGGAGGGTGTTAAATTTTCGACCCGCTTCGTCAGAGTGACCACCTTGGCTTTGCAAAGATGGGTCTCCCTTTTCAGCTCCTCATTTTCCTTGAAGAAAGCTTCCACTTTGGTTTTAGCCTCGACACACTTCAGTTTAGAGGCTTCAACAGCCTTATTTACAGAGGAGGTCGCAGCATTGGCTTTGATTACAGCAAACTCAGCATTTTCGGCTCGATTTAGGTAATCATGGACAAGTCCTTGCAAACGCCTCGCTTCCATCTGGGCGCTGATGAAGAAGTTCTGGAGTGAGCCTGCATGGCGAGCCCAGCCTCCATCAGGTCGACTATTTCGCAAGTCTCAGCGTGAAAGGAATACATGTCAGTCCAATATTTACGGCTAAGCCTCACTGCGCCCGAACCTCTGGGAGGAGCATTTCCATAACGGCTAGAGCTATTTCATCTGACCGCCCGCCCAAAAAATTTTGAGCCTTTCCCTCAGACGAGGCGCTTCTCACCTCTCCCACTTCATCTTCCTCACTAAGCTAGCCCCCTCATCAACCACCTCTTCCGCTTGAGTAATCTTTAGAGAGGAGATTGGCTCTGCAAGAATGGGTCGGGCGAGCCACTCTACGAGAGTGGTTTGACATTTAAGAGGGGGTCGGGTCCGGTATTCTTCGATATCACTAGCTTTCTCTTTGGAGGCCATTCCAGTGAGGCATCCGCCTCCTTTTCCTTTCCTTTCTCTCCTTCCTTCTCAAGGGGAGGGGTGGTTTAGTTTTAAAAAGGCGAGCTAACTCGTCTCGTTTGTGATTATAAGAGGAAGAGCCAGCACTCATGGGTTTCTTCCTTTGAGCCTCCCCGAGGCTTTTCAACTGAAGCAGAGTGGGCTTCACCCGCTCCTTGTTATCATGCTAACCTGCAAGGTACGTGGAGATTTTAAAATAATCACACCAAGAACAAATTAGTAAAACAGTAAATCACCTCGTCTTCCCCTTAGTAGCCATCAGTTGATGAATAATAAAGAGGGTCTGTTTGCTGATAACGTTTTTGAAGTGCCTCTTTTAGGAAGGGAGCCCATATATAGCTCGGATTACGGCCCACTCGAAGGGTTCGAGTTCGAACCAGCCAACTGCACCTACACAGAACACACTTTGAGCAAAAGTAAAAGATAAATGAACAAGGCAAAACACTGTAATAAAGGAACTCGACTCACTATACTCGTGATACTGGGTCGATATGATGATCTCTGGCACCACATCCCCTTCCATCATTTACCAGCGACCCCTAACCCAGAACCATAAGTACTTCCAATTCTTGATAGAGATAGGGGTCCCTAAGATGAAAGGCGAATGTGGACCCCATGGGTTCATACAATACCACCCCTTACAATCATTCCCCCACTGGAAGCCCGAGGTTAAAAGAGGGTTTGGAAAACATGTGGAGGCATATCACCGTCAAGGTTCACATCTTTCCAGAGGAGAAAGGCCCCTAAAAGCTGACTCCATGCATTTGGTACTAATTGGGTAGGGGCTAAATTATACTCTCTAAGGATAATCCTAAAGAAATGGTGTAATGGCAACCTCATTCCTCCACTCAAGATCGCATCACTCACCGCCACACAATCCTTCCTAGGAAAGTAGGCCCTTTCCTCCTGGGTCAACATTAACAACTCGATATCATCTAGGATCCTAAAACTATCCCTGAAACCCTCGAGCTCATTTTCCATAATATCTGTTGACCATAAGGAGGCCCCCTACCTCATGTTATCATCTATGGGACTCTCTTGCATCGTCCATGTACCGTGGGGACCCTATATAGCCTCCTCGATCTGCTCAGTGGGTATCACTGGAGGAATTCCAGCCTCAGCACTGATCAAGGCCATATCTACCCCAGAAGAATCCCCTTCCACACTTCTCTTTGATTTAGAAGATATCAGAATAAGAGAAAAGAAGAAAGGAACACCTTGATAAGGAAAAATACTTACCAAACACTAACAAGAATCAAATCTTGGAGAACCTCGAAGTCGAAGTAAACAGTTAATTGTCTGTGACGCAGGAACGTATTGGGCTCGGAGGGAAGAATCCTAACACTTAAGATTTCAAACTTTCGAAAAGTGAAAAAAGGTGAAAAAGTGATTTCCCTGCCTTTTATATAGGCCTACCTAACGAACCCCCACCGTTGGATATTACTCTGATTTAATCTGAGACTTCCTCCTGTAACCTCACCATCTGCGTTGAAACCAAAAGGCGTCTATTGAAGATTAAATCAATGGCTTAGATGAAACAGTGTCATGAACGCGCTCCAAATTAGCGTACGCATTGGTGGAAGTGTAACATCATCATCATTACGCATTAAATGTGCACGTCGCTCGAACCTTAGGAAAGACCAGAATATCCAGCATCATCCATTGGAAACCAGCATTTGCCAAGTCACCGGTACGAGTCGACAAAGAGTTTCTAGTTATGAATCGGGGCTCGGTAATTCACTCAAATTGCCTCATCTCACTTAAGGGGACAGAACACTCGCTTAGGCCTCGTCTCATACAGTCCGCCAACATACAGAGATGCCTTACTTCATGCGGCTCGTCAGCACACAGAAAGGCTTCGCTCCCGTGTATCAACAGGTTCGGATGAAAACATCACCCCCATTATTTATAGACCTTTAAAAGTCCATGCATGATAGAAATAATCACACCTGAACTTCGAGGACTGATGTTGCTCATATAAAATAATAGTAAAATTAATGTCCCAAGTGGCCAGTAGACGAACCAACGAGCCCATTCACACAACATAGTAAGATGGACAAATCGATTATACACGCGTCGAGGCGAACCTAACTTGAAAACAGAACAACCGAGCCTCTTTTAGCATTACCCCTTGACGCGAACCCATCTATGGCGAGATGGGTAGCCAACCAACAGCAGGTCTCATGACTGACAAGACAACACACTGCCAACGTCGCCTCTGCATGCGTACGCAGTCAAATCCACAACCTAGATGTAAGGATATGGGAGATCTCAGCATTGATAGTCTAATAGATTGATTGATATTTATAAAAACCAACGAATCTAATAGAACTACGTGCCTTTTCATTCAATGGACCTCATTCACCTGGCATTGGATATAAATACACACACTTAGCATAATTTAAAGGTAATGCAAGGCTTCGCTCTTGTGTATCAACAGGTTCGGATGAAAACATCACCCCCGTTATTTATAGACCTTTAAAAGTCCATGCATGATATAAATAATCATACTTGAACTTCAAGGACTAATATTACTCATATAAAATAATCAAAAACTTAATGTCCCACATGGCCAGTAGACGAACCAATGAGCCCACACACATAACATAGTAAGATGGACGAACCGATTATACACGCGCCGAGGCAAACCCAACTTGAAAACAGAACAATCGACCATCTTTTAGCATTACCCCTTGATGCGAACCCATCTATGGCGAGATGCGCAGCCAACCAACAGCAGGTCTCATGGAGTGATTGATAAGACAACACACTGCCAACGCCGCCTCTACATGCGTACGCAGTCAAATCCTCAACCTAGCGGTAAAGATATGGGAGATCTCAGCATTGATAGCCTAATAGATTGATTGATAATTATAAAAACCAACGGATCTAATAGACTACGTACCTTATCATCCAATGGACCTCATTCACCGGGCATTGGATATAAATACACTCACTTCGCACAATTTAAGGATAATGCAAGTTTTCATATCTAAAGAAAAATCTCGATTCTCTTTGCAAAGCTCAACAGCTGACCCCTTTTTCAGGCAACAAACAATTATCATAGTAATTTACTAAATACCTTGGATCATTCCCTTCATTGATTGAATTGAGAAACGGGTGATTTGAATCATAGGCGCATTGGAATCTAAGCTTACGTCGATACTCGTCTCTAATTATTCGTTATTTGTTGGCCACGTCATTGGACCATTTTTTGAGTTCAACAGATGTTGACAATTTTGTCATCTCTAAGGTGATGGCGATTAGTTCGCCGATGGCATGTTTCATTAGTTGAACTTAATCGTATTCATTAACATTATTAACGGTAAAAATATCAAAAATATTATCTGTATATGATCAAATTTTGTATACTAAATGTAGACATCATGCTAACTGAACAAATTATTTGATGTCACTTTTTCTCAGTGGAGCGGACAATATAGTTACTTGGTGTCAGGCTGTCAGCTGCAACTCAACTACTAGCAAAAAAGTGAACTAATTTGGTCTTTGGTTTTGGGTAATCTCCAACTGCATGCCATTTGAACTGCTGCCCATTATGTTTTGTTATCCAACTTGACTTGACTTCATCATTTATGCTGAGATAATGATTCCCCGTCTAATATTTTCAATTGATGCATAGTTTATGGGCATTCAAAGTGTCTTCCATTAACCATTATTTTGTAAACAAAAAAAGACATAAAGTCATATAGTGACATATAGCCCTTGTTTGAGCCTCATCTTTTCATCAAAATATATTCTTGAACAGTGATATGACAACATTTCAACAGCATATTTTTTAATAAAATAAAATTACATTTAAATCCAAAATTTTTCTTATTTTTTAATCACATATTCTCCATCAATCTACTATTTGAAAATGCATTTTACCAATTTAATGGGGGCTCAAACGAGTCCTCGCAAAGAAACATGCATCACTTTCAAAGAGAACTTCAAGAACATCTCAGCTAAAGATGCTTTATCGATAGACATGCTTAGTACAANTTGTGTTTCAGTTTTAAGTTTTGAATTTTGGATTCGTTTCTTGTTTTCTAATTTAAGGGTCTGTTTTAATATTACTAAAAATGCGTTTAGTTTGTCATTTTGAAAAATTATTTTCAAAACGAAAAACTAGAAAACACGTTTCTTTTTTACTCCATAAAATTTGATTATTAAGTAAAAATAGTACAATTTTATAGTAATAATATATTATCAAGTAATATATATTTTAAAGTTGGTAAATCTTAAAATATTTTTTTCTCACTACAAAACTAAAATAAAAATAAATAATAAATTAAGATCGAAATGTAGAAAATAAAAACAAAAATTAATGATATGGACATAGAATATTTATATTTATATTTATTTAAATATTTTTTTACAAGTTTTATGTAAACAATTATTAAGAGTTTGAACTATTTTTATCTTTTATTTTTCTATAAATTTTTATAATTTAATTTTTTTCAAAATTCATATTTTATATTTTTTAGAATTTATTTTTAAAAATTTTAACTTTTCTATTTTTAAGAATTTATCTATTCTGTTTTTTGAATTTTTAAAAATTTATTTGTTAGGATTTGTATTTATATTTTTAAAATTTTTAGTTTTTAAAATTTTGTTTAAATAAAATTTTATTTAACGTCTATTTTCCACCTAAACTGGTGTTGTAACACCACGGTGTTATATAACATTATTCTATAAGTTTAACCTTATTTTCGAAAATACATTTTCAAAAATACTAGATCAAATACGTTTTTAGTATTTTGCAAAATTAGAAATTGCTTGAAAAAGGAAACCAAACGCACCTTTAATAATTGTCACGAAATTGTGAATGGCTGCCTACCACCCATGAAAAGAAAGACTACATAGGGCACTCTCAGCCCGCCCTGGTTCAAATACTATTCTTTTTCACTTTATCCTACCCCGCTCACTGCCCTTCAGGCTTAAAAGCCTTTTCGTTGTCACCACTTACCGTTATCTATATGGCGATATTTCTAGCTTTCATTAAGGCTTCGAAGCCCCTATACACAAACTAGACTATAGAGGTTGCCACCTTGAAAGGCGTATCGAAGGTAATATCGGTTGTATCTGAATGCCAATCTCGATATCAAAAAACTCCAAAGTCGTTTTCCTCTTCTTTTTTTGTGTTTGATAGAAATACCTAGCAAACATCTAAAAAGTAGGTTTTTCGCAAGAAAACCGGGTTTAGAAAGGGTTTATCAAGTCCATTCCATTGGGAGACATCAAAGACGTGAACTTATCGAAGCACATATTCCACCTTTCCTATCTAAAATTAGCTTTCTCTGGTGCAAACTCACGGATTCTCTTTCCTATTAGTACAGTTGTTATAAAATCTTTAAAGAAGTATGCCACCTTCAGGACGATAAAGGTTGCATCTTCAAGTCCTCGTGCCGAAAGTACGAGATTCACTTGAGTGTTCCATAGGGGAAAAAGGCCGAAAAGGAAGAAGGGGCCTAGCTTGCTTTAGGTCTTTCCCTTCCCCCGATGTGGAATAGTTTTTCCCGAGTCCGGTCCTATAAGAATAGTTCTGACGACATCAACTCATGGTACATCAAAATCAGGCCTAGCCTAAAAGACCCGCTTTCCAATAAGAACTTCCTTTTAGATCCTTTATGGTAGTAATGTAGGCGGCGTGTATTCTAATAAAAGAATAAGGGAAATGGTTCTGCCATTACGGATAAGAAGAAGGTGGATGGAATGAAGGACAAGAATCAACAACCGATATTACCATAGATCCGCCAAGATCCTGCTTTCTAGTCTCTCTTTCAGCCTCGCCTCGGGGAATAACAATTACCCTTTCCCCTTGCACGGTCCCTCATCACTTACGAGATTTTTTGCTTCTCTCTTCTTGCTACTCGTCTGAATCCCACCTTGTGGCATCAACGTTTAGCTCATTTATTTAAACTCTCATACTTTATCTGTTTTCTTGAAGAAGAAATTGCTTGTCTGTAATTCATCTTCGTGATCATGGCATTGTACATTGTCTTTCTTGTCCTCACACTCCCAATGCAAACGAGAAAGTTTTCTAGTTATCTATGTGAGGATATTGACAAATGTAAAAGAAAAATGTGGGGGGAAGAGGACTCAAACAAAAAAGTACATGCAGTCGCCTGGGACAAAGTTTGCAAGCCTAAGTGCAATGGGGGGCTTGGCATCATAGAGACTGAACAAAATAAGCAGATCTCCCAGCTGGAGAGCTATCAAAGAACCACAGGCTTTATGGGCGCAAGTCTTACATAGCAAGTATCTCAATAATGGGGGATCTGCACCAAAGAGCAACTCATCATATATATGGCACAGCATTAAAAAGGGAAATTAAGTGCTCAAGTTAGGTTAAAATGGAGACTTGGGAAGGGGCATAGAATGATTTTGACTTACGAGTAACAGGCTCTGAAAGAGGTTCATCAACTACGGAGGATCAATTAGCATTACCTCACCCGAAATTGGCACATGAGCACTCGAAACCGCCTCTCTTTTTGTCCCGAAACCTTAGACGAGCGACTATGCTTAAACGGGTATGCTGCTTTGCCATGGGTTGATTTCAGCTGCTCTTTTGGGGAGGACAAGTAGTTTGACTTTAGTACTCAATTTGAGACTTCATAGGCTACTTGGCGGTAGTAGGCCCAGGTCCATCATTGGCTGGTAGTCTTCACCGGCATCTCCTCTGGAGAGTTTGGTATGTATTTGAAATCCTAACCACAAGAGGAAGACCAGTAGAAGGAAAACTTCCTATCAGAAGCACGAGTGGAACGGGTAAAAGTTCTACGGTGAAGAGCCCGCTCAAAGCGACCTTATTAAAGATAAGATTCGGGACATCAAAGCCGATGCGATGGTAATCTCGTCCTTAGTTGCCGAATCTAATGGAGGTTTCAATCCGACGGATTAACCGTAATTGGCAGGTAAAAGGAGGCCTCGACGGAGATGATGGATGGGAACTCCTACTCTGACTATAGTTGCGATCTCTAAGCGGGATTTTCAGTCATCTATCCCTTTTCTTTCCCTAGCGAGTGAAGAACGAGTGGATGTTTTGAACGAGTGTTGAGCGAGTGAAGTGCCCCATAAGCTATAAGGGCCTGCTATATGTATCAATTTCGTGAGCAGCAATTGAACTGAACCTTCCAAGTGCATCCAGCAGGAATCGAACCTACGAATTTGCCTCTTTATTAGGTTGGTATAGGTTGGGCGCTTTAACCATTCAGCCATGGATGCAAAGAGACTCAGCGAGTGAACTAGGTTTTGGTATTCCTTCTCGAGCTTCTATTTCTTCCGTTAAAGGAGATTCGAGAAAAGATGGAATAGGAAGACGTGTTTCCAGAACGAACAAGATACGGGTTGATAAGGGGGAGTTAGCAAAGTTAGACAAGATTGGAATGGGCATAGGAACATGTATTGATGTACCAGAGCGGCTAATGCTCCCAGGTTGATGCGACGTATTCCACCAGTTGACTGAAGACTTGATTATTGGTATATCGATCGGTCCAGCACGGATTGAAATAGGAGCCGGTTCGACAGAAAGCTTTTGAAAACACAGTGCACCCAGGTAAATAAGGAACGAGATGAATACAGAGGTTAAACGAGCATCCCACACCCAAAAGGTGCCCCACATAGGTCTTCCCCGAAACCCCCCAGTAACTAAGGTAAACAACGTAGAAAAAGCACCCATTTCTGTACCGGTTCCGGAAGAGCGAAGAAAAAGGGGATGTTTTGTTAATAGGAACAAGAAAGTGTTTATAGCCGTGGCGATATAAACAAGAATACTCATCCGAGCCGCAGGAACATGTACATACAGAATACGAGAATTTCCACCTTGTTGAAGATCTAGTGGTGCTACCCGAAGACTTAAATGAATAGCCATCGCTGTTAAGAACAACCGAGATCCAATGAGAATTTGCGCGTAGCTTCTGGTCTTTGACATCAAAAAAGAAGGTTGTAATAACGAAACGGACATGTGAGAATTTGGTCCTAGCTAGTGGAACAAGAAAGACATGGATCTATATTAAATACGCAATCAAAGGATTTCTCCCCCAAAAATCGAAGAATTCCCCTTGCTTTCTTTTCGCTCCGCTCGTGCGTGGCACTCCTTGCTCGCGGAGCGACATACCGAAAAAAAGAAAAGTAGAAGCAACTACATCAAGAACCTCTATTCCTTACGTGAACGGACGCTTTCTTTGAACTAATTCATAGGCGCTTTCAATTAGTTAGACTTCACATCACACACTCTCACTATATAAACAAATAGTTGAAGCGGTCCTGAGCGTGACATCTGCTCGTAAGTGGTCTTAATTTAGGAATTTTTATTATTCTTAATAACAATTAAGCTTTTGGGCACACAACAACACAAACAAGTTAAGCGCGAGGTTTTTCCTCTGGTAAAAGATTGGTATTTCGGTGGGTAGGGAAGGAAATGGGCNTACTTCCCATTTCAGTTTAGAGAAAGTCATTACACATCATGCCAACATCATAGTTCTCCTAGTTATAACTTGGCTTATAGTCAGAGCCTAATTTTTCCATCAAATTATTTCGATCGTGCAGTATATATATAATTGATCAACTACAATGCACTGAGATGGAAATTAAGGAATGTTGAAAATAAATGCGTAGTTTGAACCCTTATTCCAAATGGGTAATATTTTATAACGCTGAAAAAATGATTGTCATTTTGATTGGACAATTCTCTTGGTAATAGGGGGAGAAATTAAGAAGTTGAAAATAATGTACAAATGCATCATTATCAAAATCCTCGCAAAAGACAATTTGAATCAGAAGTTTGAAAAATAATTCATTTAGATGCATTTACTGACCAAAGAGATTAACAATCTCACATATCAGTTTTAAATGCTCCAAATCGAATTGACTCCTAGAAGGACAATTCGTTAATATTTAATATTATATTTGATAAATTTATGGCACGCTTGAAGCGTGATGATATTCGATTCTATTACAAAATCCTCCAAATGAAAATGGAACGATTGGTAAAGATGCTCTTTTTAAGGAGGCATATACTCTTAATAAGTATTTAAACGTAACATATTATAAAACCCCTGAAGAAGTTCAGGTACCTGAAATAATGAAAATTGAGATATCTCAATATGTTATGTCATTACAGAAAAAAATAGAATCGAAAAAGTTAAGAAAAAATTGTCGACAACACTTTTGCACATGATATACTACATCATATTATGAATAGCGATGAATCGAAATAAATTTGTTGAAATATATTGATCGAAGTAATGATTGGTCAAATAAAATGACGCGATAGACAATACATGAAATTTGATATGCATGTAATAAATGTGATTATAGACAATTTATCGTTTTGATACTATTTTGCAAAGATTTAATATGCTTGAAGTATAATTCAAGTGATATTATCAATTGGGGAGTAAATATGGGTTGTCCTTTTTCTCCTTTGATCGAGATTTTGTTATGTTGGGTTTTCCTGGCAAGGTTTTTAATGACACAACTCTTGTAGCATACTTAAAAGAATGATGTACTCTTTTTCTTTCATTATGATTTATCCCACAGGGTTTTTCCTAATAAGGTTTTAACGAGGCATATTCTTTGTATGATTAATATCCATAACCTAAAAGACATTACCCTTAAAATAATATTATAATATGAGACTCCTGAAAAACTCAACAAAATTACAGATTATGTGAAAAATGAATTTTGAGAAGAAAGATTTGGGAACAATCAAATTCTGTCTAGAGTTGCAGATTGAACATTTTCTAGCAAGATTATTTGTTCATCAATCTACATATACAGAAAAAATATTAAAACGCTTTTATATGAATAATGCACATCCATTGACATCACTTATGATTGTCCGATCACTTGATATAAACAATGATCATTTTCGTCCACTTGAAGATAAAGAAAAGATTCTTGGTTCTGAAAAACCATATCTTAGTGCAATTGGAGTATTAACTTATCTTGTAAATTGTACTCGACCAGACATAAATTTTTCTGTAAATCTCCTTGCAAGACATAATTTTACACCAACACAAAGACATTGGAATGGTGTTAAACATATTTTTCGTTACCTAAAGGGTACTATTGATTTGGGATTATTTTATTCTCAAAAGTCGGGATCTACTTTAGTGGGATATGCAGATGCAGGTTATCTCTCTGACCCAACGACCAGACATAAATTTTTCTGTAAATCTCCTTGCAAGACATAATTTTACACCAACACAAAGACATTGGAATGGTGTTAAACATATTTTTCGTTACCGAAAGGGTACTATTGATTTGAAATTATTTTATTCTCAAAAGTCGGGAGTATTTATATTCATTCCCTATAAATATAGGGTTTTGATTCTCATTATAATATACACAAGTCTATTAACTTCTCTTTTTCTCTCTTTTTATAACAGATACATTAATATGTAAAGAAACTATTAAATTTTACCATGAAATTGTGTTTACATAATAGGAATAATAAGGAAATACTGTGAGACTCGAAAAATAGAGATTAACATCCGTTGATCCGATTCAATGGTGATTTAGAATGTATACATGAATATACTGAATAGGCACCTATACTCACACCCATACATATTTTTCAGAGTTCATATTTCAACAATAAAAAATCTTTAAGATTTTATTTATGTTTCCTAATTGAAGCACAAAAGTCTCAAGAAAAAATTAGTTTTTACTATAAATAATTATTCACAAAAGTAAATTGAATTTTTTGCTTTACAAACAACGATGTCTTACCAAATTTCTATGTAAGGAAATAAGTAAAGACATGATTTGATTTTAGTACAAAAGAGATGTGATAATAAATAACAAACATAATTGTCATTTTCACATTACCATAAAATCAGTTTTGCTCATCGGAAACAAGGACAGAGTGTGGCAATTGAAAATTCTCGCTTCTAGAAAATATGGTCCAAACACGTGTTCCAAAGCCGTACAAGAACTCACTGACTCAACACGGACTACTGAGTTAACCAGGCTACCAATCAAATTTTATATAATATTAACGACTTCATCTACTTGTAAAAAACTGAATATAGTTAATTAATAAAGTCAATATTAAAAAATAAATATTTTATCAACGAAATAGTTCAATACCAAACATATTTTCATTTTTCTCTCTTCAAGACCACCATAAGTTCCGATGTGCCAGCGTAGAATCATTCATCTGAAAACTAGACTCGGACATTTTAACTCAAAAGAGTAAAACCAATTGTTGAGAAAAGTCAATGAAAAACAAGGAAAAACTAGCAATAAGAATCCACCAAAATGAAAGGCTTAAACACGATTATGAATAGCTGTCCTCAAACGATATATGTTGTTACCGAGATAAATGCTTGAAGATTTTCAAAGATAAATTGGTATGTAGGAGTAAACAAATCTTGATCCAAGTTTGAATCAAGCAAACAAACTTGGAAAATAAACTTTAAGAACAAATATAGAAACCGAGTTTTTGATCTTCGATTTTGAAAGTGGGTGAGTGTATTTGATGCTTAAAATATATTTTCTAACATGAAAATCATTCCTATATATAGTACATTAACCATCATACACAAAAAGGTGCAAAAAACAAGCCAAAAAAGTGTGAAGCTAACCAAAACAACGCCGGAATTCAAAATCTCAACCGGCAAAATTTTGTATTGGGTGATCACCCACTTCACCCGAAATCTCTCAGGTTTGAAGTTTTGAAGCTGAGCGATCACCCGGCCGATCGCCCAACCTTAATTAATTAATTTTTCCGGTTTTGCTTCCAATTGTTTTCACACATGGTTGATCACATAGTTGTTCACTTCCAAATCACACCTCACTATAATTTGAACAATTTTCCAACACCAATGGTTCAAACTTATAATCTATTGAAGATGAAATTCTAACATGCCAAATTGATAGCATAAGCAGATATAAATTTGACAGTAATATTTAACATATTAGAAGCAGGCAATAAAAACCTATGTTTACACCTTTATGACATTTTAGAAAACATTTGTGATAGGCAATAAAGCAGTCAACGAAAAGATTAATGACCAAAATTCATTCAACGAACCAAATACTTGTGTATTAGGACTTGATCGTTAAATGCATATACTGTGGCAAATGTAACAGACGAATATGCACAAAACATCTCAGATGTTGAGGGGATTGTAATATTATCGAAATTGATGCTTCCTGAGATGGATGCAAAATCATAAACCTCAGACACCTCGATAATTGAGTGGGGTTCTGTGTCACCAAGATTATCTTGAACAGATGATCCCTGTTTCGACATTTGAATTGCTTCGAGTTCTCCTGCTACTTCCTTCATTGTTGGCCTTCTCTTTCCATTCAAATAGAGACACCTTCTAGCAAGTTGAGCAATAGCCATAATTTCTTCTTGCGTGTCTTCATTGAGCACCCCAGCATCAAGAATATCATGTAAACAATTTTGCCCCATTGCTTGCAAGAAATTTGTGGCTAAACTCTTTCCTTGATCTTGTGATCTAATAGACGAGATTGCTTTCTGCCCAGTTAAAAGCTCAACCATGACAACTCCAAAGCTGTAAACATCACTTTTTTCTGTGAATTGGCTCGACTGGAAGTACTCGGGATCCAAGTAACCAAATGTTCCTATTACTTTTGTAGTCAAGTGAGTTTGATCAATAGCAACTGACCTTGATGTTCCGAAGTCCGAAATTTTTGCCCGATATTTATCATCCAATAGTATGTTTGTTGATTTGATGTCTCGATGGTAGATGGGTAATGATGCAGCATAATGCAAATATGAAAGCGCTGATGCTACTTCTGTGGCAATTCTTAACCTCATTTCCCATGTTAATGGGAATTCCTCAGTTGGGTTGTGGATATGCTGAAAAAGTGTATCATTTGGAATAAACTCATAAACTAGAAGGGGAACTTCGGTCTCTAAACAACATCCCAGTAGCTTGACTACATTTCTGTGGTTTATTTGTGACAGAATGACAACCTCGTTAATGAAGACTTCCAGATCATCTTCATCTACCTTTTGAGACTTTTTCACTGCCACAATTCTTCCATCTGAAAGCATCCCTTTGTAGACAGTACCTTGGCCACCACGACCAAGTATACGATTAACATTGAAGTGATCAGTGGCTTGCTCCAACTCCTTTGAACTGAACAACTTAGTTCTCTCTACACCATTCTGAGTGGAAGACAATTGTTGTTCCAGCAATAAGCCGCCATTGCGTTTGAAAAACTTTTGCTTCCTGTTTGCCTTAATTCTTTTCTCAATAACTTTGTATGACTTCCAAGCGCCAACGAGTAAAACTAGTGCACCAAGCCCTGCGCCAATGCCAATAAGTGCCATTTTTACACAAGATTTCTTGCCACATCTATAATACCCATCTACATTGATGCATGTCACATTTCCACAGTGATTCAGGGTTGGATCCATGCACTCATCAATATCTTGGCACCCCTTTTCTAGATAAGGATTTCCTTCAAAGCCGTACCTGCATTTACACGTTTTAGTGTAGGAGTAATCTTGCGTACCAAAAGAGTAACTGAAAAGTCTATAGTTGCAATATCCCCAGTCAAGATCAGCTATTGGGAATTCCCAGCCAAGTGCTACAGGTGCATGTACAAACTCTTTGTCAAATGGGTTAGACAAGTTATCTTGAAGGCCTTTATACTTCCGGGAATTATTCCGGAACCAATAATCTTCAACCAGGAAGGCATATCCACAAAAGCTATCGGTACTGGTGTCTGTGCTGCTGTAAATTATTTGTTGTTCCTTGAGCTGCTCTGGGATATCTATCTTGCAGCAGCCAAGGCCGTTGCAGTCGGTGTCTGTAAGATTATATCCTGAAGATCCACAAATGGCCATGCATCCTCCAGCAATCTTATTATTTGTAACCAATGAAACCACATTTTTGCAGCCTAACACCATCAATACATTATAGAATTTTGGGAAAATAAAAGGAGTTTCCAGCAATGATTTTCCCAAAGACAGATACTTCTCTTCAGAGGAGCAATTCATGGGTGACACGGGCTGGTTCGTCACGACTAGACCTTGCGTCAGGTTAACTTCTAGCACTTCCAGATTGAGGCTACTCAAGAAAGGTATCTCAAAATTAGTGAAGTTTCGACAGTCAATTGTGAATGATGAATTGGCACTACATTCTTGCCCAATTCCGAAAGGAAAGGGAATCTTGACATTTCCACTACTTTCTGGACAGTTTGGCTTCGACAAACGTATAGCGAACACCACTGTTCTCATTATCCATAAGGACAAGGTCATGTAGAGAAGCATCTTTACACTCATTTTCCTGTTGGCCTTTTTTTACCGCACGCAATCTGCAGACTGATATAAATGGATGGATAATGAATCCATTTCAAGAGAGATTGTTTTCAAAAATACACTGGAATATCATAAAAACAAAATTGCAGACTTACAGAGATTAAAGTAAACTATGAAATGAGAGAAGAATAGTATGCACGTGGCATATCTCCATTGTGGGATACATTCTCACCGTGTTTTAGCCCATGGTTCCCACATTAATCACCTTATGTCATATATTATTATTGATATCATTAACAAATTAATTAAACTTGAGGACCTGCTTGAGAGTTTTTTTTTTTTTTCCTTTCACCGGCTTTAGGTGACACAGTTTACGAGAGGTTGAAAATATCGGTACTTGCTATTTTTCTGGGCACTGATTTTGAATTGTTTAAAAATCACCCAAAACCGATGTATTGTAATTTTGACCGCTTCTCTCAACCCACCAAATCGACGGGTTTGGATCATTTCTCATATTCAATTTTAATTTTATTCTTTACAAAATAATTATTTACAACCAACACATTTTCTTCAAAACTAACTTGTAAATAAAATTATATTAAATAAAAAATGATTTATAAGCAAAAAAAAATACATTATATTTAAAAAAATACTTATAAATAAAATGTTACTTATAAAATAAGAAAATTTGCATGAAAATTAAAAATTACTTATAAGTAAAAAATCAATTTTATGTAAAAAAAAATTGTTTATAAAATAAAAATACTACTAATAACATAAAAATTCACTTATAAAATATAAAAAGATACTTGTAACTTATAAGTAAAAATTCAATTCAAATTTAAATTTAAATTAACTTAAAATTTTAAGTTAATATTTAACTTTATTTAATTTTTTAAATAAAATATTAACTTATATATATATAATTACCTATAAATAAAAAAAAATCATATAAGAAACAATAAACTAAAAGTTTACTAAGGGATATGTATGTAATTTTATTCCTTTAAAAACATTTCAGAACCGATGGATAATAAACTCACAAGCATAAGTTGAACATTTTTAAAAATCGTTACTAAAATCACTCAAAATCGATCTGCTTGTTAACGCTCAAAAGTAGTACTTTAAAAAATTCTTGGTATATCAAAACTCCCAAACAAGCCCTGAGACTCATCCATAAATGCCCCTCACAGTTACCTAAATACCAGTGTTCTAAAAGGCGCACCTAGGCGTGAGGCGAGGCTAAAACGCCAAGCCTAATGGGTTAGCGTCTTATTTGGCGGTCAACGACAGTTGTTGACCGCTAATGCGTGAGGGGCAATTATGCCCGCCTAGGCACGCTTTTTTTAAAAAATATATAATTCTTTTGAAGTTAAAAATTATTAGATGCTAATTTCTTCAATTTGCCCTAATTTAAAATTAAAACAACCATTTGAACTCAAAAGTCAAGTGACCAACGAATCTTATTTACGGTAGATAATTTCTTAATACACCCTAATTATTAAAAGAAAAATGGTTGTTTGAATTTGAAGCTTATATTTTTGTTGCAAACTTTGAAAAATGTATAAAGTTCCTATAAATCTGTTTTAAATGTTTAGTAAGTATTATTTTTAATTGATTAAGAATTAAAATAATATTAAAATAAGAAAATGCCTTTTTACGTTTTTTTACGCATATGCCTCGCCTAGCCCTGGGCTTGACCTTCACGCATCGCCACGCATTACGCCTTTTAGAATACTGCTAAATACCATTTTTCTAAAAACCTTTAAAGTTTCCGACGGATATGCATGAATAAATGTGCTAAAAAAAATTTTCACACCGTCCATTCATCTCAAAGTTTATCCTACTTAGAGCATCTCCAATAGATTTTTTATTTATAAAGAACATCTTATGCATAATAGCGAGCATATTTAAATTTAGATAGAGTATTGAAATTTATAACTTATTAAATGCAATAATTGTTAATTAAGAATAGAGTGTGTTTGTCTCTCCAAATTTGAAGAATCAAACTTACTCTTTATTTTAAAAAATTAAAATAGAGTCTTTTGAAACTTATTTTAAGCATTGACTTCTAAAATAGAAAGTATTTTGTGTTTGGAGAAATGTTCCTAAAAATGATTTAAGCTACCCTTCATCAAAATCTTATAAATCAATTTATAAAGAGAGAGAGTAATAAATCTCACGAAATGTGTGAATAATAAAAACTAGTAGTTATGAGTGCGAGATTGACTAATTATAATAGGACTCAGAGAAAAACTATCAATACAAGGGATGTTCACATACCTTACGGTGTAGTGTCCTCCAATAATAATGAAATAGAATGATTGTATCCTCTTCTATATAATCACTCTTTAGCTAGTTTTCAAATGTACACAAACCGAACGAAAATACAATTATATATAGACATTTGAAACCATTAAAGGCGATCAATTTAAGTAGTTTCGTTCTTCTTTCCTTGAATAAGTCTCGCAGAGTTTTCAACAAAGAAAATGCTGAAACACTCCAAATTATCAATGAAGAAAGTTCTTTGGAGCCTATTTGGTAGGGATTTTTGGAGGAAGAATTGATTTTTGAATAGTGATAACTACCCTTTACACACCAACTTTTTCTTCTTGTTTAATAACTACACTACCTTTTATAATAAAATAACTTCTTACACACCAACTTTTTGAAAATTGATTTACTGTAGAAAATCAAAATCCATACCAAACAGGCTCTTGGTGTGCGTAATACTTCTGGCTTTTTTCATTAAATACTGAGAATAGGTTGAACAGTGCAAAGGGTGATTAGTAAGTCATAGATCAATATGGAATTATGGCCAACGCCTCTCACAGCCACACATTGTAGAGGCATTTCATCTATTAACACAACTAAATACATGCTAGTCTAACTCTTCTCAATTCAATTTTTCATAGAAGAGTTTATCTTTTACAAGTCTATGCAGCTCCTACATTTCAACAAAAAATAATGTTTTAACTAAGCATCAACAGCAAATTAAACTTCCCAAGATTGCACTATTGTGTAATCTATAATATATTAAATATTACATCAAGTGAGAATCATTTTTTGAACGATTATAATCATACTATAATTCAATTATTTCAATAATACTTTACTTTTCGTTTTTTAATATGTGTTTAATTTACAAACAATAATAAATACTATAATTAATTCTCAAATAATTAAAATTCACGTTCATTTAATTAATTAATATTAATTAGAATTTCACTTTCACATTCATGTCACTATTATTAACAATTAATTAACATTCACATTCATTTAATTAATATTAATTAGAATTTCACGTTCAAAATGCAGTTCATTATTAACGTCTATATATGCTAATTAGCATCCAGTTTCACTTAATTGGAAATTAACATTCATGTTAATTCATGTATCGTATTTGCCATTCATATTCATTTATACATTTAGTTGTAATTCTAAAACTCACATTCAAGTATGCATTTCACTATTTACGTGCATGTATAATATTTAGTGCGTCAATAGATTGATATTCGATCTGAATTCAATGAAATTAATGGGAGATTGATTTAGAGTCTCATTCTAATAATCCGATCAAGATTCGAATCTGATAATCACTAAATGGATCAAATATGAATATAGGTTTATCCGATCCGATAACAACACAATCTGATTTATTATAAATAGTTGAGTCAGTTAAGTATTTTTATGGCATGTTATTTGTCAATAAAATAAATAAATGAGAAAATGAAGAAATTTAGAATAAAAAAATTCAACAAATTCAAAACATTAAAAAAAAAAGAGAGTCAATTTATGTGTATACAGTGCTCTAAAAAGCGTAATGCGTGGCGAAATGTGAAAGTTTCGAGTTAGGTGAATCTAGACGAAGCTTAGGAGTAAAAAAACGGTAAAAAAAATTATTTTAATATTATTTTAGATTTTTAATCAAACTAAAAATTATTTAATAATACATAAAAATTATAGTACCAAATTCAATTTTAAGAGTTTAACAAAATAAATATATTTGATAAATAAGATATGGTATAATAGTGCTAATTGAAATGGAGTTTTAAATTTTTATTAATTAGTAAAATATAGGAAAAATGATTAATTTAATAAATCATAAATAAATATTTATATAATAGTATAATATACTATAATATACTACAAATTACAGTTAAACCAAATGTACAATGCATTATAGCCAAACCAAATGTACAATGTATTACATCCAAACCAAATGGTTTCTTATCCCACATCGAAAATTTGTAACAAAATGCTTGAAAATCTCCTCTATAAATAAGTGACTCAATAAATGAGTAAGCGACTTTTTGTGCATTTCAATCTAATTGTCTAAAAGTTTAAAAAAGTTTAAAAAATTATAATTATTAAATCCGTTTAAAAATTGAAAAAAAAAATAAATAAAAAGTAATTCCAACATTGATTTTATTTTCCTAATTTCTTTAATTTCGATCGAATTATCAAATCGGGTATGCGATAACATGGCAAATCGGGTATAGATTTAACCATCAAATATTTGTTGGATTATCAGATCGGATCGGATCGAATAATTATTCTTATTGGATCGGATATAGATAGATCCAATTCATATCCGATCCATTTACAATCCTGATAATAAATAACATTTATTTTCAAATGCTTACATTTATCTCATATTAAGATTAAAAAGATAAATGAAATGTCAAATATTATTTCACAGCACTAATGAAACATTTCAGAATAACGTACAATACACGTTCAATTCTGACTAATATTTCCCAAATGTAAAGAAATGATAAATATGAGTAGTAAAAGACATAGGTAGGTAAGTAGAAACCCTTCAGAACCCGAGTGTTTAACATGTAAACGTAATAAGTTCATTTAGTATAGCATCAAATCTAGACAAAGCATTTGAGGAAAAGTTAATGAAGGAACTAAGAAAGGTAACAAGCCTCTTCTAAGTTATCTTTTCGTTTGATAAACCTTCTAGAATCATGTCCCAATGAAGTCTAGATATCTTGTTTCGGGATTGACTATCCTAA